TACGATTGATCTTAGCAAAAGTATTTTGTGGAAAATCGTGTTCTCCAACTAATTGGGCAAGTTTAAGAAAACAATTTATTTGTGATAAAGAAAAATCTTTTTCCCGGTTAATGGTGAGACAGATTTGGATGCAAAGCTGTTTAAGCTCATCAGTTATAGCTATTTGTTTAGTTATAAGAGAAGTAAGAGTACTCAGGTATTGCCTGAATTTCTTATTGGCACCAATTTTGTGAGATTTCCAAACACTATTAATTTCATTATAAAAATTGGTTAGAAGACCGGGATTATAGAAGTCGTTTACCTCTATTTGCTCTTGGAAATGTGAAAACATTTTTTGTGAAAATTTACCCACATTATAGAAGACGGTTTGGGATTCTATAAGTGTATCATAAGCCTTGAAGCATGAGCCAGAAAATGATTGCAACTATTTGTGGCAGTCGTTCCATTCGGAATAGATGCTTGGTTGGTGACCAGCAAATTGCACAAACCATTTGTTAGGCTGTGATGAAGTTGGTTTATCGATTGCCTTTTTAGCAATTGTGATCCAACCGTCTTTATCGGGAGGAGGATTTTTGCCTTAATCACTCATCAATATTCAGAGAAATATCTTGGTTAGATACCTCATTGTAATTTCTGCTTAAGAAATCTGCAAGAAAATTGTTAGTGCCTTTAATATGTTCAATAGAAAAGGAATACTGGGCAATAACATTATACCATTTTAACCTGCGTCCGTCTAAACAATTCTTTTCAAAAAGAAATTCTGGCAATAAAATTGGCAACAAAAAGATTTAATATTTATCTTGCTCCAGAAGATTTTATTATTCGTACTGATAATCAAGCAGTTAAAGACTTTCTAATAAACAAAAAGAATTGTTTAGACGGATGCAGGTTAAAATGGTATAATGTTATTGCCCAGTATTGCTTTTCTACTAACAATTTTCTTGCAGATTTCTTAAGCAGAAATTACAATGAGGTATCTAACCAAGATATTTCTCTAAACACAGATGAGTGATCAAGGCAAAAATCCTCCTCCCGATAAAGACGGTTGGATCACAATTGCTAAAAAGGTAATCGATAAACCAACTTCATCACAGCCTAACAAATGGTTTGTGGTATTTACTGGTCACCAACCAGGCATCTATTCCGAATGGAACGATTGCCACAAACAGTTGCGATCATTTTATGGCTCATGCTTCAAGGTTTATGATACACTAATAGAAGCCCAAACCGTCTTCTATAATGTGGGTAAAGTTTCACAAAAAATGTTTTCACATTTCCAGGAGCAAATAGAGGTAAACGACTTCTATAATCCCTGTCTTCGAAACAATTTTTATAATGAAATTAATAGTGTTTGGAAATCTCACAAAATTGGTGCCAATAAGAAATTCAGGCAACACCAGAGTACTCTTACTTCTCTTATAGCTGAACAAACAGCTATGACTGATGAGCTTAAGCAGCTTTGCATCCAAATCTGTCTCACCATTAACTAGGAAAAAGATTTTTCTTTATCACAAATAAATTGTCTTCTTAAACTTACCCAGTTAGTTGGAGAACACGATTTTCCACAAAATACTTTTGCTAAGATCAATCGTATATGTCTCCTTGAAAAAGCAAGGAACATTTTTCCTCCTGAACTTTTTCGAATAATCCTCTCTAAAACAGTGGATCATTCTGTTACAATAAAAAAAAATTATTTTTCAAATCATAAAGAAATTAATACTTTCGACATGATTTATAACGGGAAAACAATTCCAAAAATGACTCTTTTCATTGTTCCCGGATTTCCCTGGTCAATGGAACCTGTCGATTGGGGAGTAATTAACAAAATTACTTTCTCATCTCATGACTGCCATTCCTGGATTGCATTCCCTGCAATGATCAAAGCAATGATCTACAAAGTTACTTCCCACTGGAAATACAGTCGTAATCTAACTTTCTGGATTTCTAGTACTATTGGATAGCGACAAAAAACTTGTTTCTTTCAACCTTTCAAGATCTGGTTCCACAAAATTACTGAAAAAGTAGACCTTTAAGATAATCAAATTTTAAATTCAGAAGAAACCGGCGGCAACATCGATCCTTATTATCTTGCAATGCACAGGCTTATACACCTGCAAGATAAAGCCCGCAGAATCCTAAACGGAACTTTTAAAAATGATCAAATTGGATTTTGCTGTGATGGAAGAAGACTTTTCGTCACCTCTTTGACTATTTATAATACTGAGTATTCAGAGAACCACATTTTGACAGCTAAAGAGTTTCTAAAAGAAATAGTGGCTAATACAATTGAAATTCCGGAAACAGTCCGGATCGGTGCCGATGATATCAATCTTGATTGGGACATCGCAAATGATCAGTCACCAGTTAGCACTCCTTCACTTGATGAAAATGAACTCCATAATCTCATCAATGCAATGGAAGGATAATCTGTCACTCTTCTTCTGATCGACTGCAGTTCATCTAGCACACGAGAAGAAGAGCTGTCACATCTTCTATTCATTAACAGTGAAAGTAGCCGACAAATTATTCATCAACAGTGAAAGTTGCCGACAACATTTTTATGACAGTACAAAGCAAGATTCCTCTTATCTGCTGCACTGTTCCTTCTCTTTTTCTTTTCTATTTAAACCGAAGCTCATAGAAGGTTTTGGCATCTAAAGTTTCTCTATTTTTCTCTCTATTGTACTCTCTCTCTCTTGTAAAACATTCTCAGTTTTTATCTTTGTAACTTTCCGCACTTGTTTGTCACTGTAACTGGTATCAGAGCCGTACCTCAAGCTTGGACCATTATTGTAAGTTTTTCTTTATATATTATAGTACTATTATAGTGTTCGTTTGTGCTTTATTTACTGTTATAAATCTCATACGTTTGATTACTGTTTAAAGCCCATATTGTCCTGTAATCGCTTGTTTGTCTGAATGATTGTTAAAAAAGCTTTGTCACAGGAACACCCGGTTTAGGCACCAGAACAGGAATCAAAACGTCTTAAGAACCTTTAACTATTTCTTATGGCACAATCTACCTCTGTAGGATGTATCTGTAGTATAGTAGGGAAAGACCCAGATAAATATAGTCATATACCACACTATTTAACTTCAGATCCGCTCAATTTTAACCAATTTGGCGCTGGAATGAACTTTTTAATCGACATGGTTAATGACTGGAAACACTTATTCCAACTTAACCTAGAATCTATAAATTTTCAAATGGAAACCTCATTTGATGATTTGCAACAAGAAGTAATTTCTTTAAACAATAAGCTTGATACTCTCACACAGATTATCTCGCTATCTGACAGTCAAGATCTAAAAGATCAGATTCATTAGATGACTATTGATTTAGCGAAACTGAAAAAAGCAAAGTTATCTGATCTTTACCCTCCTGATGATCCACCGGATAAAGTAGATAAACAATCTACTCCTCCACAAACGGAAGTTAACCGGTCTACGTCTACTCAAACCTTATATAAGGTCAAACCCCTTTTCTATGGTGATGTAGATATTAAGGTACTTAATGTGCAATCCTCATCAAGTTACAATAAAGAGGAATATGACAGCATCGTAGATTTTCTGAGTTACCTACGAGAGCTATACATAAATCCTCAACTATCTATTGATGAAAGCACACATATCATCAATCAGATACGAGAAACTTCTATATAAAATGAAGCTCTCCTCACACACTTCGGATATAATTTCAATCTCTCCAACAGTGACACTGAATCAGAAGAACAAATACATGTTTTCTCTGATCAATCTAATTCTAAAGAATTTAACAATTCTGACGGCTCAGAATCTATCGATGAAGAAATACCAGCTGACCTACAGCCCGAAATATCTTCCTCTAATCGAAGAAAAAGAGTTTCTAACACTGTTTTAGATAAGCCATTTACGGAGATTTTCCTCTAACAGAAGAAATGCATCTAGCAGAAGAAACTGTTATTCCAGCCACAGGTATACCTGCTGCATCAGCTACGTCCTATAATTACGATTATATGACCTTTCACACCTTTACAAGAAAGGATGACCTCAATAAGTATCCTATTTCATAACATGGTACTTATCTAGATCTTGCTAATGTCCCCTATAAAGATCATCTCAAAGCTATAGATGAATGGGCACAGTCCTTAGCCATTCTGGTCAATAGCCAGAAAGCTTCTTGGGGAAAAGATCATTTTCTCGACTATATTGCAGCAACCCTGCAAGGTGATGCGCTTGATTGGCTTTGCCAGTGGTATCAGACAGGTAAAGGCAAAGAGCAGAAAGGCGATCTCCTTAACAACTTTCACGAGATACCTGAAATTCTACGTGGCTTTGTTCAAATCCTTAAAGAAGAGCTTGTTGGCCATACCGGTGAAGTACTTCTTTCCGATAATGCAAATTTCGCTCTTTCTAAAATCGAATTATGCGACATATGCCGTTTTCCCGAATACGTTAAGATATTTAACAAATATTTTAGGCGTCTTCCTCCAAATGCCATGGACCATCGGTTACCCCAATTCTTCCATAAACTACCAAACCCCTAGGATGAGTTAGCCATCAAAGGTTGCCCAGATTTTCTTGTTCGAATCAGACGAACCGATAACCTTGGTTTTCGTACCAATTTCATTTATCATCTTATTAATGAAAAATGTTTAGAAACCAAAGCCAAAAAATAGGTAAAGAATCAAATCAGCAACACTCCCGCCGGATAGCGTTATTGCGACAAGATTCTTCAAGAAATCTGGAAGGTTGGTTGTGCACCAAGCAGTTCTACCACTACACGACGTTCATACAAGCAGAAGAAATACTTCAAATGGCGCAAATGGAAAAAAGGTAAAAAACCTATCCAGAAATCAAAGAAGTATGTTAAACCATCTTCACCGTCCCCCACTTCTTAACTAAGTAAACGAAAAGGGAAAAATACTCCTGAAATAAAAAAAGATTGCGAATGCTACATTTGTAATGAACCTGGTCATATTGCACCTAATTGTCCCAATAAAGGTAAAAGTGCATCCAAGATGATCAAACGCCTTAACGCAGAAGATCTTTGTATTGTTTATGGCAGTGACCTCTTCAATTCTGACGATATACTTTATGAAATTTCTAGTCAATTCTCAGAATCAAGTGACAGCGATGAAGACATCTTTATGATACAGTTTACTCCACATCAAGATGAAGAATCCTCTACCATTAAATTAAGCAGTGTTATTGGTGAAGAAATCCAGTTTACGAACGAACAACTCATTCAGTTCGCTAAACTCCAGAAGCTGAAGAAAGAAAAAGTCTACAAAACTTCCAAGTTCTCCATCTTTTCAAAAAGGATCCTTGAACAATTCAGCGGTGATACCACTATCGATTACACCTCTAGTGGTAAACATAGATTCAATATCCTCAACAACGACAAGGTTGCTCGATGGCGACAGCAGAATCCTCTCGCACGATATATTCATATCATCATGGTTGGGATCAAAATTACCTCTCTATTCTGCAAAGGAACTGATCAACCCATTCTAGCTCTCGTTATGGATAATAGATTCCATAATCCTATTGATGCCTTCATCGGTGGCATTCAATCCAATATTGTTAACAATGTAATTTGGTTCAAAATTAAACCCAATTATTTTGTTTCTCTCACTGATCCAAACATTGAGAAAGTTCTCCAAGTCAAACTTCAACTTTGAAATCTCAAAATGGACTTTGATTCTCCTAGTCTTGGGATACAGTGGAAAGTTCTTTACGAACTTACTCGAGAACCTGAAACTGCCACCATTCCTACAATTGACTCAAAACTAGTCACTATGTTCGAACCTCGTCCCTTTGACTCAGTAATTGAACCAAAATTATTGAAATGGACAGATCTGGAAATCCCCCACAACTGGTTATTCGAAGACATCAATTCGAAACCTAAACTCCGCGTAGTTGAACCTACTGTTACCGCTATTCAAGCATCTGGTTCCAATCTTTATATAACCAATAAAGAGAAACCACAGCTGTAAAGATAAGCCTCAGCATGCATATCTAGTAGGCCATCTGGATGGGACAAAATACTTCCCCCACGAGCATCTAATGCTCAAACCTCCGACCTACTACCTCCACGCCGACGGTTTACATGGGCAGAGAAAGGCAAAGCTAAAGCTACCGTTGATGCACCTTTCCTTCCTGGCTCTAATCAATCCATGAAGTTTGCACGATTTTTTCATTTTAAACATGGAAATGATGAAATCCTTATCGTTCCTTCTCAAGGGAAAAAACGAAAGTATACCTATGTCTATGGTATCCTTAACTTCAAAGGCTATAAACCATATAGTCTTTGTGTACTCATAGACACTGGAGGAACAACCAGTTGTTGTCGATATAATGCCATACGATTAGAAAAATGGCGACAAATGAAACATCCCATTGGTGTTCAAGGTATTGATGCTAAAGCTCCTATAAATGTCATCCAATTTAAAGCAAAAGATATTGTTATTTGGTTAAATGATAAAAAATTTATCATACCAAAATTACTCTGCTTTCCATATATGCATGGTGATTTCATTCTAGGATGTAACTTTATTTACAATTATCTTCCTTTACAGTTAAATGAAAAAATAATTTCTTTAACGTTAAAGGACAAAACCATCGTTGAAATTTTGATCCAAGAAAATTTAGCTTCTGTTTGTAATGAAAAATTTTCTCCCCCAAAAAGAGAAAATAATGAAATTTTTGTCTTAAATGAATCTCACTGGTTATACTCTATTTTGAGACAAAATTTTTCAGATAATCCTTTAAATCTATGGAGTAGAAGTTCTCATTTTTGCAGATTAAAACTCAAAGACGCTCATATCATCATTCGTGTAAAACCAATGATATATCTCCGAAAGAATATCCATGAATTTGATGATCAACTCCAAGATCTTCTCAAAAAGAAGCTCATTGAAAGAACCAAAAGCCCTCATAGCAGTCCTGCTTTTATGGTAAGAAACCATAGCGAGGTCAAAAGAGGTAAAGCCCGCATGGTAATCAACTATAAACGGCTTAATGAACATTTAATTTTTGACGATATTTTATTCCTCGAAAAGATGTTCTCATTAATCAAACTCGTGGAGCAAAACTCTTCAGCAAGTTTGATTGTAAAGTAGGGTTCTGGCAAATAAAAATACGCAAAAAATCTAAGCCATTAACTGCTTTCAGTACCTAAAGAGGTCATTATCAGTGAACTGTAATGGCATTCGGTCTCACTACTGCACCTCAGATCTATCAAAGATGGATGGACAAGATCTTTAATGACCTTAAAGATTTTGTTGTTGTATACATCGATGATATTCTGGTCTTTTCTAAAACAAGAGAAGAACACAAAAAACATCTCCAATGTCTTTCAGAAAAACTGAAAAACCATGGAATCATTCTATCTCCAACAAAGATAGATATTGAATAGGAATCAATTGATTTCCTTGGCCTAGTTTTAACTCACAAAGGTATAAAACTACAGGATCATATTATTATTAAAATTTGTGACTTTCCTGATGTTATTCAAGATAAAAAGCTGCTATAGAGCTTTTTAGGAATCTTGAATTATGGCCGCAACTTTATTAAAGACTTGTCTCAAAAAGAGCTTCCTTTAATAAAATACTATAGAAAGATAAAGCTTTTGACTGGACTAATAAAGACACCACTGTTGTCCAACAAATCAAACACGATTTGGTCCATATCCCTGAAGTTTATTTTCCCCAAAACGGTGATAAACTTATTCTTGAAACTGACGCTTCCGATTTTTGTTGGGGTTGTGTGTTAAAAGCCATTCCACAAGACAATTGGGATGAAGCTATTTTCACAAATCATCATATACGAGCACGCAAGACTCCTATTCCAAAAAATCTTCAAAAAGAAGAATTGATTTGTGGTTACAATTTTGGAAAGTTTAAACCAAACGAACAGAATTACATTATTTATGAAAAAGAACATCTGGCAATTAAATTGGCAATAAAAAGATTTCATATTTATCTTGCTCCAAAGATTTTATTATTCATGCTGATAATCAAGCAGCTAAAGACTTTCTACTAAAACAAAAGAATTGTTTAGACGGATGCAGGTTACAATGGTATAATGTTATTGCGCAGTATTCCTTTTCTATTGAACACATTAAAGGCACTAACAATTTTCTTGCAGATTTCTTAAGCAGAAATTACAATGAGGTATCTAACCAAGATATTTCTCTGAACACAGATGAGTGATCAAGGCAAAAATCCTCCTCCCGATAAAGACAGTTGGATCACAATTGCTAAAAAGGCAATCGATAAACCAACTTCATCATAGCCTAACAAATGGTTTGTGGTATTTGCTGGTCACCAACCAGGCATCTATTCCGAATGGAATGACTGCCACAAATAGTTGCGATTATTTTCTGGCTCATGCTTCAAGGCTTATGATACACTTATAGAAGCCCAAACCGTCTTCTATAATGTGGGTAAAGTTTCATGAAAAATGTTTTCACATATCTAGGTGCAAATAGAGGACATCGCAGATGCTCAGTCACTAGTTAACACTCCTCCACTTGATGAAAATGAACTCCATAATCTCATTAATGCAATGGAAAGATAATCTGTCACTCTTCTTTCTGATAGACTGTAGTTCATCTAGCATACGGCAAGAAGAGCTGTCACATCTACTATTCATCAACAGTGAAAGTAGCCGACAAACTATTCATCAACAGTGAAAGTTGCCGGATTGGAACCAGATGCTTGAATAGTGGTAACAGTAGGTTTAACTACGCGAAGTTTAGGTTCTGAAATGATGTCTTTCAATAACCAGTTGCGGGGGATTTCCAGATCTGTCCATTTCAATAATTTTGGTACAATTACTGAGTCAAAGGGATGAGGTTCGAACAAAGTGACTAGTTTTGAGTCAATTGTAAGAATGGTGGCAGTTTTGGGTTCACGAGTTAATTCGTAAAGAACTTTCCACTGTATCCCAAGACTAGGAGAATCAAAGTCCATTTTGAGATTTGAAAGTTGAAGTTTGACTTGGAGAACTTTCTCAATGTTTGGATCAGTGAGAGAAACAAAATAATTGGGTTTGATTTTGAACCAAATTACATTGTTAACAAGATTGGATTGAATGCCACCGATGAAGGCATCAATAGGATTATGGAATCTATTATCCATAACGAGAGCTAGAATGGGTTGATCAGTGATACTAGTTACAGTTACGAACAAGTGCGGAAATTTACAAAGATAAAAACTGAGAATGTTTTACAAGAGAAAGAGAGTACAATAGAGAGAAAAATAGAGAAACTTTAGATGCCGAAACCTTCTATGAGCTTCGGTTTAAATAGAAAAGAAAAAGGGAAGGAACAGTGCAGCAGATAAGAGGAATCTTGCTTTGTACTGTTCATAAAAGTGTTGTCGGCAACTTTCACTGTTGATGAATAGTTTGTTGGCTACTTTCACTGTTGATGAATAGTAGATGTGACTGCTCTTCTTGTCGTGTGCTAGATGAACTGCAGTCGATCAGAAAGAAGAGTGACAGATTATCCTTCCATTGCATTAATGAGATTATGGAGTTCATTTTCATCAAGTGGAGGAGTGCTAACTGGTGACTGAGCATCTGCAATGTCCCAATCAAGATTGATATCATCGGCACCGATCCGGACTGTTTCCGGAATGTCAATTATATTAGCCACTATTTCTTTTAGAAACTCTTTGGCTGTCAAAATGTGGTACTCTAAATACTCAGGATAATACAAAGTCAGAAAGGTGACGAAAAGTCTTCTTCCATCAGAGCAATATCCAATTTGATCATTATTAAAAGTTCCGTTTAGGATTCTGCGGGCTTTATCTTACAAGTGTATAAGACTGTGCATTGCAAGATAATAAGGATCGATGCTGTTGGCGATTTCTTCTGAATTTAGAATTTGATTATGTTCAAGGTCTGCTTCTTCAGTATTTTTGAGGAACCAGATCTGGAAAGGTTCAAAGAAACGAGTTTTTTCTCGCCATCCAATAGTACTAGAAACCCAGAAAGTTAGATTACGACTGTATTTCCAGTGGGAAGTAACTTGGTAGATCGTTGCTTTGATCATTGTAGGGAATGCAATCCAGGAATGGCAGTCATGAGATGAGAAAGTAATTTTGTTAATTACTCCCCAATTGACAGTTCCTTTGACCAGGGAAATCCGGGAATAATGAAAAGAGTCATTTTTGGGATTGTTTTCCCGTTATAAATCATGTCGAAAGTATTAATTTCTTTATGATTTGAAAAATAATATTTTTTTTTTATTGTAACAGAATGATCCACTGTTTTGGAGAGAATTATTCAAAAAAGTTCAAGAGGAAAAATGTTCCTTGCTTTTTCAAGGAGACATATACGATTAATCTTAGCAAAAGTATTTTGTGAAAAATTGTGTTCTCCAACTAACTAGGTATGTTTAAGAAAACAATTTATTTGTGATAAAGAAAGATCTTTTTCCCAGTTAATGGTGAGACAGATTTGGATGCAAAGCTGTCTAAGCTCATCAGTCATAGGTATTTGTTCAGCTATAAGAGAAGTAAGAGTACTCAGGTGTTGCCTGAATTTCTTATTGGCACCAATTTTGTGAGATTTCCAAACACTATTAATTTCATTATAAAAATTGTTTGGAAGACCAGGATTATAGAAGTCGTTTACCTCTATTTGCTCCTGGAAATGTGAAATCATTTTTTGT